TGCAGACACAAGACCTGGGGGGCCCAGGGAGCGCAAGGGGAGACACACACACACACACACACACACGCACACACACGATATCAGTGGTGCCGTCACCTGGCTGGAGCAGTAGTGGCCCTGGCTGGTGTAGGCTTGGAGTTTTGGCTCTGCTACTGGAAGGGGTGTGTGTGTGATGTGGCCCCTCACCTCAAACCCCTCCCCTCCAAGAGTGATGGAAGCTGGATGGGGGGAGGGGGAAAAGGCAGAAGAAAGGCAGATATGCACGCCGACACCCCAAGGAGCCTGGGATTCGGGTGTCCCCATCACCCTCCTTGGGGGCTGCAGCAGAATTGCCGCGTCAGTCACGTGGGGCTGGGCTCCTTGGCATGACTTCTCCCCACCGGCACCGGCGGCGGAGAGAAAAGGCAAACAAACAGAAGCGCTGCCCCCCAGGGAGTGGAGTTGGAACAGTGCAGTGGTGGGCACAGGATGAAGGGGGGGGGTCCGTGATAAGGACGAGCGGCAGGCCTCTGTTCCTTCTGCAGGCGCAGTCACAAGACAGCATTTGGCATCACAAAGCCTGTCAGGGACATGGCCACCAGTGCCTGGGAGCGCTCATGTGCCTGCACAGGCATGACTTCTCCATGCACCCAGGGCTTCCTGGGGCCTGGGAGGTGCTTGGCTGCTAGCTGAGAGGTCTGAGGTTCAAGCCCAGTCAGAGGTGGCTCAGGAGAGAGGCCGGGAAACCAACCTGCACAGTGGGAACCGCAGGGGGCACAGCTCCCGCTGCAGTAGGCCAGACGGCGGCTGATGGTGGTCAGACTTCCACCACAGCCTTACGCACGAGGCATCGCGAGTCCCAGTTTACAGACATGGAACCGGGGCTTCAAGAACAGGTAACTTCTTCCAAGGCCACTCGGCTGGCCATAACTGCGCACAGGGGGTGAAGGGACCTCCTCCCCGCTTCCCCAGGCGCGTGGTTCTAGTGCTAGAGCCGCATTCAGCCGTGGCCGAGGTTCCCTACTGACCCAGCCTGCACTCAGGGGAAGAGCACCACGGGTGGTCTCCGAGGTGGCAGAGGCCCTCTTCCCTGCATGCCGGACACAGGATGACTGGGATAAAGCAGCCACTCACCCCAAGCCGTTAGGGGCTAGAACCGAGGTCCCACCATCCTAAAGGAGGCTCACCCCATCTCAGATGCACGCACGGCCCCAGAATACTTCACAGTGGGTTGACTCCTTAGACTATCAGCCGCTAGGTCGTTCGAAGCCACCAGCCACTCCATGGGAGAGAGGGGCTTTCTGTTCCTGTAAAGATTCACGCTCTCCGACCTGGGTGGCACCCCTGCTGTTCTACAGGGTCCTAGGAGTAGGAGTTGACCCTGAGGCAGGGAGTCTCCTTACAGGGTCGAGGCTGGGGCACCCTGATGGGACCAGGTGTGTGTGTGTGGGGGTGGTGGTGAGGGGGCGAGGTGTGCTGATTGGACAGTTTTATGGGTTGGAATATGGGCTGGGAACCCTAACTAACCTGGGGTTGCATGCCCATCTGGGAATGAGCTGTTTCTGTTATGCTAATGAGGCCACACTCAGGGGTGTGTACTAAGCCAATCGGCAACGAGCAATAAACAGGCAGAAATCGACGGCACAAAGCAGCTCACACAGATGGGGCAAGACGGAGGCCAG